TATGCTAAGTATGGCGCCTGAAGACGCTGTGTCAGAATGAGAAAGCCATGGTCTAGCAATTGTTCTGCCCAGGCTTCCTGTAGGATCCCAGGGCACCAGAATCTTCCAGACATCTTCCTGGCCACCATCAGGGCCAGCCTTGTGATCTAGGATCCTCCCGCTGTGTTATTTGAGAAACTTTCTTCCTGCCAGCATTAGGCCAGGTGCCCTGGACATCGGTGGCCAAGAACAGGCTTCAAAAAGCTAAGTGGAAGGTAACCGTCTTCAAAGGGCCCAGACTTCCCAGAAAGCTCTGGAACACAGCCCTGACCTCAGGTCAGTGTTTCCTACAAGTGTAATTGTGATGGCTCCATGAGGGCAGAGACAGGGTCTATCTGGTTTATCTCTGTATCCCTGACAACCCCTAGCTCGGGGCTGGAATACAGGTGGCGCTCAATGCTGACTTGTTGAATTAATGTATGATGACCTCCACCAAGGAAGGAATGAAAGTACAGTGCAAAGAACCCAGGTTTCAGAGTTAGACCTGAATTTTAAACTTTCCAGCTCTATCATTTATACTGGTCATGTACAAACCACTCTACCTCTCTTGAACTCAGCTTCCTCATCTACAAGGTGGGGCTCATAATATCCACCTCAAAATGCTGTGAGCATTATACAGAAATATTTAAAGCCTCTAACCCAGCCCATGGCAGAAAGCACTTTCTGGTTTTTGGTTCATAAACACTTTCACAGCTCTCACTGTATAACAAGCACTGTTCAAACATGGCAAGGGGATCCTAGGTCACAATTATTTTAATTCTTATAACAATCCTGTGGAGTAGAACCTGGTTATATTCCTTTTGCAACTGAAGAAATGGATGCACAGAGGAAGAAAAGCAACTTGCCCAAAGTCTGATATCTAGAAATGGCAGGCCCAGGATTCATATCAATTTCAAAGTCCAAGACTTGAAGTGCTACACTTTTCTGTCTCTAAGCAAGCAGTCGATGAATGTTAGCTTCTGTCCCTACCCTGGTTTGATTGTGAGAAACACGTGACAATGCCAGACTAAGGTTTTCCACTGCAACAGAAGCACAACCAGGCATTCCCATGGGTTGCTGTTTTGTCTGTCTAGTTTTAAACTAAGGTCTACTCCTGTGAAATTCAATTCCAGAGAAGTCTGCTGATCAAAAACTTTTCTTCCATCTTGTCCTCCTACTATCTCCTCCACAACTATCTACCAGAAAAAGAGACACACAGCTCTGTAAAAATAAGGAAAGGGAAAGAAAATAGAGAAAGGAAGAAAATGAGCTTGCAAGCTCTTAGGAAGAGGCCTCATCATCCCTCTAGTTATTCCTAAGACACATAGGGTGCCCAAGGCAAAAGTAATCTGTCCACACGGAGACCAACCACATAAAGTCTCACTTTCCCAATGGACCCAGGGAGCAGAGAGAGAAGTAAGCCACCTCTTCTAATGGCCAAAACCTCATTATAAAGAAAGCTTTCCATTTTTCCTCTCTCTAAGACTGTATTTCCCCTACTGCCAATCACAGAGGAAATTTCATTACCAAAATAAATCAGTGCTACACTTGACCTTGCTTCTCCAATGGCTCAGGATTAATGACATCACAATGTATTCTACAAATGCTCAGAAATATCGGAATAACCCCCTCAAGTCAAAAATACTTGGTATTTCACTAAAAGGCATTCAATTATTTTGATTCTACTCCATGAATTCCAAATGCTTTCAATGTTTTCATTTTAAAAATGCTTTAAGAGAAAAATGTGGTCTCGGTTACCTTAAGAAACCTTGATTCCTGGTCTGGTTAGTGTCCTGACTCACGTATGGTAAGATGAGGAACAGGCTAGAAGCCAAGGAACAGAAGCTCTAGCCCACACTGCTCATGTGACTCAATCCCCGAGTGGCTGGGGCCTCACTGTAGAATCTCCCAACTCAACCTTTTCTTATCCTAAGTCACAAGCAGGTCACGGGCAGCTACAAGGGCACCTAGGGCAGTTCCTTTTAAGGGGTCCAGCCTCCATCTCCCATTGCCCAGCTAATCACCACGTTTCCCTTCCAAAGTCTCAGTAGAAGCTAAATTCTTCCATGTTGTCTCAAGAGAGGGAGTTGAGAGAGATGTTTTCTCCCCAAGGCAACCGCCCGGAAGTGGGCTGGCTTCAGGGCCACTGCGGCAAACGCATCTCCTGCACCCTCGAATCAAGACACATGACCATGAAATGTAATTCCTCATGCTGCTTGCTCAAAAGGATAGCCCCATTTTAAATCAGGTTGGTTACCAACAGTCAGTAAGTGTATAAGGTTGATTTAAAGATAAAAACTATCAATCCATCCAGAACACACGTTCTCAGGAAGCACTCAGAATCTGATTACCCTGAGTATTAAAAAGATTCTCCCACAACTAACGCCATGTTTGTCAAAAGACTGATCACTCTTACTGAAGTACAAGTCACAAAATCACAGCATCATAATATGGAAAAGTCCCATGGACATCATCTACTTTACTCTCTTTTTTCACAAGGGAGAAAACTGAGATGTCGACCAAGGGTAGGGCTGTTCAAGTTCACTGTTGGTAGACTACCCAAATTCAAAGCTTCTCACAGTTCTATTTCCTAGCCTACTGCCTCTGACACCCAATTACCAACAAGAGCTCTCAATTATTTTCACAAAATATTTTTATGGTGGAGTTATAGACAAATTGGTTAAATCTCATGGCTGCTACCTAAAAAGTACATTCAACAAAGAGGAAAACACAACTGGAGTTGAAAAAATTAACTTCTGCTTTGAATTATGTTCTCAGCCCTGAAACTTTGTTCCTAAAGGGACAGTGCCTTTCCCAGTATTCCCTGTGAGAAATAAAGGGCTGTAGTTATTCCCAACCAGAACTTCCAATATTAGACCAATATTTTAGATTACAATTTATAAACAAATGTGAGTTGTACAAGGCAGAGTGTCCCGAAGCATCCTTCACTACTTATAAGAAAATGAGCTTCAAAGAAGGCTCAAAGATTAAAGTGTTTTTCTCTGCCTTTAGAATGGGGAGGTTGCATTTTTAGGTATGAAGACAAGACCCTGAACGCAAATAGCCAGGCTGAGGACAGGTAGCTCAGGAAAGATACAAACTCAGAGAAAATCAAAGGTCCTAAACTCTTCTATATCCTGGCAGCTGAGATGGTTCATGCTGAGTCCATTTCACCAGACCTAAAGAAGCTTCTCTGGCTACAAAGGATCACATGAGAACATAAAACAAATGCTGAAGGTTTGGGTACACACACACACACACACACACACACACACACACACGCCCGCACCCCCATGTGTGTGACACTGACAGGCTGAGAGACTTCAATGCTGCAGAAAGCAACATTTTCCTTGTTTCCATTACATCATCCAAGTTGGAAAGGGGGGGTGGGGTGGGGGGCACAGCTGGTGGCAGCTGCACCACCATCTGCTTTCTCCTTAGCAGTGTGTGCTAGTTTGAGCTGCAGCCTCCTACAGCTCCTGATAGAGGAGGAGCAGTATTAAAGGTACAACACACTATTATGGAAAAGCTTTCAAATTATTTAGAAATAAATCACTCGAGATAAGTTAACAACCTCAGGTAGGTTGCTGAGCCGGTTCCCTTTGAGTTTAGGTTATTTGTTTGCATCTCTTTAGACTAGAGTGCAAACTCTGTCAACTCAATGTGCCCAATTAGACAAGCAGAATGTACAAGCAACCACCTGCCATCTGCTTCCCAAAAGGTAAGCAGCCAAAAAGTACAGGTCTGCAGCTGGAAACATTAACAGAAGGAGTGGGGAATGCCCAAAGCCAGAATACAAGCTCCAGAGCAGTGCATGGGTACATGCTGCTGCCTTTGGCATCCCAAGCCATCTAGTCAACCAGTCCTGCCCTCTTGGGCACTCATGGGGTTTCCTTCGGAACACACTACTAGACGTTCCCTTGCAGAAGGAGAACCAGGTGAGTACAGCCTGGGGGAAGGGGTTAATGCCTTGTCTGCCATTCAGCTACAAACTGGCAGCAAACTGGTGGCTCAAGGGTCTGATCAAGCCATGCGCACGTTTCATCTGGCCTATACAGGTTAGTATTTAAAAAAAAAAAAAAAGTGCTGCCTTTTAAAAATGAGATTTCCTATATAAACATCTAGGATTGCTAGCTCTTCCTAGAAAAAAAATTATCAAGAGATTTGGCAGCACCAGGCCCCCATTTCTACGTGGCACCAGTCTGTCATCTGGAGCTAAGCAGCAGCGCTTCCTTTCAACTGGGCACGCATCCTGGAGAACTAGCTCCCACGTTAGTGTCTGCATATGCCACTGCAACTATCTACGCTCCTACCTGGACCTTGAGAACTTTGGATATAATGCCACTGAGAATGGAGAAGAAGACATCCCTAGGGAATGATTTCCCAGTGGTCCTTCATTGATTCTCCTCTTTAGTTGAGATTTAGTCCCTTGGATGGCTGACACAACATAATGAATGGATCTCGGTAGAAGGTTAGCTACAATGATCCTTTACTACAAGAGCAGGTTGTAGCATTTCAAAGGAGCATTCCAAACCACTTACCGTACATCTTGCCTTCATCTGATAAGATGATTTTCCTCCTCCCACATGGTGGATAGATAGCCAAGGCTTCCTGAAAGCTCTGCTCAATGTCAGGGCTCCAGACCCCTTCTGCATCGTTGTCAATTGGCTTATCAGCAGAGTCACTCATCCTTTCCATGTTTTCGGCAGGGCTCTCGCTGCCGCTCCAGCTGCTGGGCTCAATTTTGGCGGTTGAATTTTCCAAGCCAAAGCTTGGAGCCTTTTCAAGAAAATAAACCTAAGAGAGAAATCAAAAGATAGCGTGATAAGGACGAGGTAACCACCAACACACAGCTCTTGGTAGTTCCACTGCACATTCTTCAGTCGGCAGCTTTGTTGGGAGAGTAACTCCTAGCAGAGAATACAGATATTTGAGATCGAAGTGATTTTTTTTCCCTTTATTTATCATGTTAAGCCCTTCAATACAGAAATACAACGGCAGGCAGAAGCTGGATAATCTTTGCATATGAGAAGAAGTTTTCATCCAAGAATAGTACTTATTCTGACTTACAAGTTCACAGTGAATCATACAAAACCATTTACTAAGTGCCTACTTTCTACCAGGACCACTTTGCTCAACAATAATCAAATCTTCATAGCAGAACAAGTTGTTTAAAAAAAAAAAAAGTAAAACAAAAGATGCCTGCTCGTTGTGGTAACTGATTAACTCTGATGTGTTAAGCCACATTTGTCTCTGACATTACCAAGATGCAGGATGGAAGAAGGAAAGGGGGAGATTATTTTTTTATAACAAATACTAACTCTACTGAGACAGCAACGCCAGTTGACTTGGACATGCTAGTTTACAGCATTTCTCTGCAGGACTATGACACTGTACAATCAGGTCACTTCGCCATTCTCGGCATCTAGATTGTAACTTTGAAGCAGGGACCAAGTTGTCCCCATTCCTGCCTTCCCTACAACAGCTACAAGTGGCAAGCACACTTGCAGAAATAAATGTTTTACACCTACGTGGGCACCTCATCTGGTAGCCTACTCGAAATTCTTGATCATAAGAAGACCGTGAGGGAGACTTTCATTTATTTCTCTGTAGCACTGAAGATTACAGAACCAAAAAAAAAATTTTCTCAAAGATTTACTCCCCTTAAATTATGCATGAAACCTATAGTCTTAAAGGGATAAGCTTTCCAAACAAATGTCAAACTGGCACAAACACCAATGTGAAAATGATCTAATCCAATACCCCCTGCTGTCCACACACTAACACATCAATATTCCTTTGTTGAAAAGGCATCAGATCATTAATTCAAACGCTTCCCCAAAAAGGGGAGAAGAATTGCTCCTGGGGACTGATCGAAGAGGGGAGGCGCAGGGCCTGAGTAGGGATTGCTTGGTGGGACGACCATTTCCGGCCTTCTGCCCCCATCGCGTTGTGCAACATTACAACAGAGGCAGCCAGGAGGGGAGCAGGTGCTGGCAGCCCCACCAGGCACCAGGGACTGCTCCATGTTCCAGGGCAGTCACCTGAGATCACACAGCCTGTCTTCCTTCTCCTCCCAATTGTATCCCTTTCCCCTGGCCTCCCCCACTGGTGTATATCAACGGATCCCAGGTGCAGAAACTCTGAGGCACATGAACGTTACACAATTAATGGAATAACTAGTGGGTGCTTTTGGCTTCGTATTCTGACAGCTTTTTAAATTTGGCAGCACCTGGATAAAAGAAACCCTCAGGTTGTCTGCCTTTAAATGCTGCCACTGATCCAACGTACAAAGAACTTGTCAGCAAAATATTTACTACTTCTTAACCAACATGTGTACATTGACACAGGACTTTAAAAACTGCCAAATGTTGAGGTATAAATTATGCCACAAGAAAGGGTTTTTGATTGACCCCCAGATGAACTGGGTGATGCCCGTGATGTGGGCCTTTTGAATTCTCAAATCATTATATTTTTTTGTTGGGATCTAAGAGTATTTTAAAATTTAAAGGTGAGCCATACTCTCCCTCTAGATCTGTTCTAGATTCAAAGTGGCTTATTGGAGAAATTATGAGAATATGAGTGAACACTTTCAGCAGTGGCTAGTCTACCTTTTCCCTCTCCACCTTTCCCAAAACAAAACGAACAAAAACAAAACAACAGACACATACAAAAATATAGACCAGTCCTTGAGCTCTGGATAGCTCAGGCAAGTATGAATTCACTACAGGGAGCCATATTTTAAGATAAACAGTGAAGATGCCCAGCACGAAACCACTATGGCAGAGGGATGGTATCCAGGACAGTGAGGGCCAGCTGAAGGGACCGGGAGAGCTTTACTTGACTAAAAAGGAAAATTAGCATATAACTGAGAGCCTCAGAGTCTTCAGACCAAAACACACCAACACTCCAAATCCAATGCTTAAGTCCCCTCTAACACTTCTCAACAATTGGTCATACAGTCTATGCATCACCAATGACAATGAACCCACTACCTCCCCCAATAATATCTCCTTCTCACTGAACGCTGAAACTTTTCCATTAGGCTAAAACCCATGAACTGGTTACCTTCTACCCAATCATGCCATGCAGGAGCAAATCTCCCCCAGAAACACCCATGTAGGTATGACACGAGGAACTCTTAGGCTCCTGATTGAATTATGTCCTAGACTAGACATAATTCATATCACCCTTTGCCCATCCCTTATAAACACAGCCCAATTTGTCTACAACCCTCAATAAATGACACTCAGAGTTGGACTATGATCCATAAAACCTCTAAGCTCCCATACTCCAAATGCTGTTTCTGAATTCCCTCTTGCACAATTAGTTTAGGAGCTAAAAGCAGGAGTTTATATTTTTTCCCATTAAATTCCATTTTTTTTAGCTTTGGCCTATGGCTTGAGGCTGGTGAGATCTTTCTGAATTATAATTGCCAAGCTTAGTGTCTGTAGACATCGAACAACCTCTGAAGAGCTATCTGTCACATGGTGAGGGTGTAGACCTATTGAGTGGAAGTTCTAAGATTCTGGCTCAACATAAGAAAAAATGTCCTGCTACCTGAATGATTCAACAAGGGGTGGACTGCCTAAAAGGCAGACAGCAGTCTTGCAAACAACCCCTTCGAGTTACCTCTAAAGCTAGGGGTCACAAGCCCTTGGTGTTTTGGAGGAATGCAATGTTAGCTAGCATTAATTGATCCATCCACTTAATAAGCGCAGGCACTGTTCTGTTCTAAATTCCCATGTTTTTATACATCTACTGCAAAGGAAGAGAACTCTGTGTCCAGGCTCTTACAATTTGGTCAACTGGAGCTCAGCAAGATGGAATTACCTACTCTGGACAAGAGCCAGGACACAACCCCAGAAGCTACCAGATACATAATCCACAGAGTTATACAGACCCTTGGTTTTACAACCCAGTTGTAAGATGAGGCCCTGTATGGGCGGAGAGGTTCTGATCACAAGACTGGGGCTGGCTGAGAAAAGCTCCCTGTACTGGATACCAAAATAACCATTCTGGCATTCTATCCCTCAGGTCCCTTCCAGCCCAGCTCAAAATCCACATCATCCTGGAAACCGTCCTTGTAACTAGTAGCTCAGAGTATCAGCCACACATTAGTAGGGTCCTGAAAATGTGTGGAATTAGTTAACTACCCCCCAATCTATCTGGTTTCCAAGTACACAGCATGTAATAAATAGCAAATGCATGGTGATAACATGCTTATTACCAACAATAGGGTCAAGTGAATTATACACAGACTATCTCTGCCTACAAAGCTTATGTCTTCACCTCCTCATCCATCCTTTGAGCAAGGGAATTAACTTTCACTTGGTTCAATAAAGAAAGAACAACAATGGGGGTGAGAGGGGAGCATGCCGGTAAGGCTCAAACTGATCTGGGTTCCAAAACTGGCTTGCCCACTAGCCAAGCAGTTCAGACTAAAGTGGTTAATATCCCAGAAGCTCAGGTTTTATTTGTAAAATGTAGATAATAGATTCAACTCCAATATAGAAAAATCATTAAAGGGGTAGAGAGACTCTACCCCACAGGGCTGCCATAAAGATTTAGAGAGATAATTAGTGACAGTGCTCTGTCATCTGTAAAACCATAACCAGATGTTCATTATTTTCAAGTCCATCATCTCTAGGCACAGGTATGTACCTTGTTATGCCCAAATACCTACTGATAATGGGATGGTGAATAAATGAAGGCGCTTCCCTAAAGGTTCCCTTTGGGAAATAAATTTACAAAGAATCCTCTTTGTTAAGGTCTTGAGGTAACGAAATAGAAAATTTAAATTGGTAACAAACACTTTTACTTCTAACACTCATCTAAATCTAAACCTATATTCACAGGGTCGATAATTTTCACATTCTTCTAGGAAGTTTGGTTCAGGAGGATAATCCCAAACCTAAATGAATGCCTAAAAGGAAAGAGAAAAGGGAACTCTTGTTTGCTGAAAACAGACTGTGTTTCATGCAGCGTCCCCATCCCATGGCCTCAGTGTCCATCATTAACACTTTCTTCTAAAAGTCCTTTTTTTTCTGAAACTCTTCCTAGACACACCATAATAAACAAACAAACAAACAAAAAACCTGTTACCAGGGACCCAAATATTCCTGCTAACTGCCCCAACAGCCACGCTCCCTAAATGGATCATTCTTTTACAATTATCCACTGCCACTTCAAGAAGGGTAACATGAGGATAGCGGAATGACATCATATGTATATCTGACCAATACACATTTTAATATAAGAGCCTGGGGGAAGAAAGGGGTGAGAGAGTCAAATACAGGTGTTTCTGACACAAACTCTATTCAAGGAACGTATGCACAAAGGATATGACGTAGGACACGGGAATCTGCAGCTCCCTTCATCTTAATTCCTGTGGGTCTCTCATAATGTAAGCATCTCACCCACATTGGGTGATTTAAGGGCTGTTAAATAAAGAGTTAGTTTTAACTAACCCTCATGATTAATGAAACGCCACTAAACATGAAGGTCACAAAAAAATCCAAACAGCTTATTTTAGCCAATGTCTTTAATACTCTATGAGGCAACAGGAAAAGAGCTGGACTAGGAGTTAGGATACTGTCTCTACCTGAGTATCCCAGGACAATATAGTATTTGTAGTCCCCATTGCCTCAGTTTCCATCATCAGTAGTTAGGAAGCCACCTGAGTCATCATGTGTTCCCATAAACTTGACCTATAATAGAACTTAGTAAGTTGGTTTAGTATTGCCCCCCATCATCCACACCCGTGTCCTTGAGGGCAGGAGCCATAGTGTCCCCAG